CCCTCCCTACCCCGACATCCCTTACAACCAGCGCACTCAGCACCATCTGATAGACATTAAGTTGCAAGTTTACTGTCTGATTCCAAGGAAGGGGAAGTGCACAGGGCACGGTGTTTGCACCCCAGTCCTCTCAGAGTCTGTCCAGAGAACACTGGATGAAAGGTGACCCTCTTTCAGCATCCACAGCCACCAGGGGAGCACCACTGAAGCCCACAGTGAGGGATGGGCCCACAAGTGTGACAAGCACATTTCTGTGCTGGCAGGAGCACAGCTGGGCTCCAGGCCTGGCATGGCTGCCCTATCTGTTACTGGCCGGGCCCCCAGGGGACACAGCCCACAGGATCCTGGTGGCAGACTCAGAGCTGGGTCAGGGGCTGGGGCTCTGAGGAGGCAGTGGCTGGGGTCCTGGGAGCACCCTCACCTCGTAGAAGAGCCCCTCAGGGAAGGGCCGGAAGCACTGGGCACACACGAAGCAGTGCTCATGGTAAAGCTCTCCACTGCTGCTGACGATCCTCTCGGCAGGGGCAAAGCGGGCCTGGCAACGCTGGCACACTGCATTCGCCAAGGCGCTGGACATGTTGCTGGGGGGAGGAGAAATGGGAAGGAAGGTCAGGCCTGGGGAGGGCACAGACCATCAGGCCTGGAGGGTACATTCCATGGACATGTCCCCTCCTTCAGAAGATAAGATGTTTTCTGGGGTAAAGAAAATCACTTTCCTCACCCAATGATGGTCTTGGCACTGTGGGGACTCAGAGACACGTGGTCAGAGCCACGTTACTGGTACAGGCTCGGGTCAGCCTTCTCGGCCGCCCATACATGCCTGTAGCAATGTGGCTATGGAGACGCTGACGTCAGCATGCACTCCCAGGCGACTGTCCTGCAAGGCCCGGCTGCCTCTCCATCACACGGTGGAGAAAGTGCCACGGTGGGTGGAGGCAAAGCTCCCTGTCTCTGAACCCCATCTTTCTGCCACACTCTGCAGCCCCCAGTGCAGTTCGAAGTGGGTCAGGTACAGGCAGGCCACAGCCAGGCACACACTGGTCCGAGCAGTTAGGGCTCTGGTCGGCTGCTCTTGGTAACTGCACAGCAGGGCTACCCCCCCTCTCCGGGCCCAGACTCCCAGCTGTGGGAACAACACACTCCTGGCTGCAGTTACACATTCTGTGGTGGTTAGATGAGGGGAACGCACACACACACAGGTCTCAGCAGGGAGCCTGGACCACCGTAAGGCCCTACAAAAGATGGTTGTCAATGTGGCTGACTTGGTCCCCACGCTGCTCAGTCTTCATCGTGCTGGGCCATTTCTTGGGGTGTTAATGGTCACCTCAGCTCCCTCTTGTGCCTCCTGACACCCCTTCTCAGGGAACCAGAGGGTGTCTCAAGACATAGAGCATCACCCAGGCACAGGTGAGCGTCTCCGTATTCATACTCTCATTTAGTACCCAGGGCAGCCTGCTTTCCAGATGAGACCTCAGGCTCAGAGAGGCTGAATAACTGCCCAAGCTCACACAGCAGATGACAGTCCAGAGTGGAACCCCCATTGGTCAGACTTTGGTGGCTCTTTCCCCTGCACCATGAGTTAGTTTCAAATCATCTGACCCCCAAAAATATGGAATCACCATACGTGGGGAAGTGCATCTCTTTAGGCCAGAAGCAGGGTGGAGAGCAAACCTCATCATGGTGGCTAACTGCTATCGCTGGTGGAAGTGATGGGCTTCCCTCAGGGAAAAGTGTGATCCAAACTGAACTACAGGAGAAAGGCTTGTGCTGACTCCAGCCCAGGGGTCCTGAGGCAGGGCCAGGAGGAGCCCTGCAGGACTCCACAGCCCCACCGCCCTGGTGGCCATGCCTTTTCCTACAAGTGAGCAAATGGGCTTTCTCCAGTGTCAGCATCGATGTTGGTGGTGCTGCCTGGGAACTAGTCATGACACTGAGGAGAGATGAGGTGTCATGTTTGAGAACATCTTTCCAGCCTGATCTGCCTCCCAGGGTACTGAACCCCACTGCTCACTGCTCAGCATCATGAGGAGAATTCCTGAGTAAGTGAGCCCCCCCCAAGCAGGAGAGGCCCAGGAGATGGAGCAAACTGTCACCCAAGGGTCTAGGATAGGATGTGGGCAGTCTGTCTATGGAAGGTCGGAGGATCACTGCCACCGGGACACAGACTGGAGGCTGGGCTGGGGCATCCAGGCAGGACCTTCTCTCTGCTCCACTTGGGGAGCCCACATGGCCAGGGCAGGGCAGGAGGGCTCCTCAGCACACCTTGCCAGGTACTGGACTTCTGCAGGTTCAGCCTGCCCTCAGACGCACTTCAGAGACCAGAGACCCCTCTGATGTCCATAATTAGGCTGCAGGGTCAAGGAAGCAGGATAGTGGCAGAAGTAGGGAAGGACCCAAGATGAAAGGGAGGCTGTGCTGCAGTGGCCACCTGCCCACCCCACTCCCACCTCTGTCCTCCCAGCTCCCTGCTGGTTCCTAGGGTGAGCAGACCGGGCAGAGGACTGACCGCCAGGGCCCCACAGAGGGCAGGGCCACACTTGGTCAGCACAGACATAGCTTCCTGCCTCGTGAGCCTGGCCTTGTCTTCCTGAAGTGCACACCCACCGTGGCAGGAGAAGTTCCAACGCCTGGCTGCAAAATAGACCTTGGGTGTCTTGAATAAGTCAGAAATCAACAGGAAATCCTGTGACTCTGGGACTGCAATTCCCCACTTAAAGGACCCAACAAATGAAGCTGAAATGAGGATTCAAGTATAGCCCCAGGCTTCTGGGTTGTTCCTTAACCCAGACCTCTGGGCCCTAACCAGGTGAGCACACAACACACCCAATGCCTGTCTGCCCTCCAGAGCCCCACCCCTGCCCCAGGGCTGATGAGCTGTGCCTTCAGGCATCTCCACACCTCTCTAATGAGAGAACTGGCCCTTGGCTGGTCTGTGTCCAGTTCCCTGCCTGGGTTCCTGGGCATCTCAGGTCACGGATATTGCTGTCTGTCGCTGCATACCTTGCACAGCCCTGGCACAGGCAGTGGGGTGGGGGGTGATGCCCTATGTCCTATACCCACTGGCCACCCCAGCCCAAGTCTCAGGCAGCAGCACCCCTAACGGCACCTCTGTGGCCGCTTCCCCATGCCACCCTGCTCAGGAACAGACCACACTCCAACCCACTGGCCAAAGACAGAGGGATGGACAGATGTGCTGGACACGTGAACCACAACACTGGCAGGGACAGTGCCAGCTGTCTCCTGTAGCGGAAACTCTGAGCTCACTCCTGCTGTTTGAACCCTAATAGCCCCAGCCACCTGCTGTGGGACCTGGTGAAAGGTACCAGCTCCTCTGGGCCTTCATTTCCTTATTTGCAAAGAGGTGCATCAGAGTAACAGTAACTGCCTGGTAGAGCTCAGGTGAGGAATTCGAGGCCCGGCATGCAGAGCAGAGCCATAGGCGGAGTGCTGGACAAAGAGCTGCTGTTTCCAGTGACTCTGGGAGCTTCCGGAGCTCCGCCACCCGCCCAGCCTGCACGCCCTGCAAGAGGGCAAAGGGTAGGACACAGGAACATTCCCCTCCTCCTTCACACATTCCAGCCAAGAACAGGGAACACAGTCTTCCCAGTTACACAAAGTCCCCATGAAGACACAGCACCCACCCCAAGTGCACAAAGCACACGCTGCCAAGGGCACACCCAGAGACCAGGAGAGCACGCCAATCCTAGACCCCTTCTCCAACCCTCCCCAGGACCCCAAAATGCTCTCAACCTTGACAGCCAATACAAGCTAATTTGTGGGCTTGTGCCAGATGTCACTGAGTGACAAGATGTCACTGGGGTGGGGGGAGCCCTCTCTGTACCAGGTCCTTGTGAAGGGAGACTGCTGGTTCCAGATAAGGAAACTGAAGCACAGAGAGGACCATTAGCCTACTGAGGGTCACAGAGAATTGGACCCATGTTGTCTCTTGTCCTCTCAGCTCCTGGTGGTATCATACAGGCATGGACACTGAAGACTGTTTTTTTCAATAATCTCAGACCTTCCTCCACTCCAGCTTCCACCACCTGAGCCTAGAAAGATGGTGTTAGGGCTTAGAGGCAGGCAGCGGCCAGCCACAGGGGTTTGTTCACACTCAAGGGCAGGGCAGTGTCACTGAAGCACGTCAGCCTGGGTGGCAGTCAGTCCAGCGCGTTGCTCTGCGGCAAGCAGACCCCCTGCAGTTGTCACTTGGACACTGGCCGGCTGTATGGCCCACAGCACAGTCCTCTCTGAACTTCAGCTTCATCATCTGTAAAATGGGCAGGCAACACCTATCAGCTACCTCCAGGGTTGATGGGGGGTGAAGAGAGGCAACACCTGCGAGCACAGCCCGTAACTGCTCCATAACCGGCAGCCAGGTGTCTCCCTTCCCTCCTTCACCCAGATCTTGACTGTGCCACTGCCATGTGCCAGACACTGCTCCAGGTGGGGGGAGAGGGCCACCAAAGCTCCAGGGAAGCTGCCCAGCACTGCCTGGCCTCTGCCCTGCCCCTCCTGCATGAGGTGAGGCAGGACCGCCAGCTGCATGCAGAGGCCAGAAGCTTACACAAAGCAGCCCCACATCCACGCTGGAAAGTCCACGTGCTGCCTGGGGCTGCCACACACGAAGCACTTATACCACCGGCGTAACCTCCCAAACTCGTACAGACGCCATCAGAGCCACAGGCCTCTCTGCGTAGCAGCCCATTCACTTTTAGCAGGTGCCCTTTAAACACATCATGATGGCAACAGACAGGGGTGGGAGCAAAGTTCACAGAAAAATAAAGCTGAGTGGCACGTGCCCGCACGAGCGCTCCTGAAGCTCGCTCTCTTCCCGCCTCGCGCCCTCCCAGCATTTCAGCGTGTCCCTCTTGGGTGTCTATGCCATGCCATCTGTCTCCAACACCACTGCGGGTCTCCCATGCCCTAGTCACCCACTCCCCACACTACCGCTCACTCCACAGATGCCAGGCTGCTCCGGGGCAGGAAGGGGGGTTCCCACCTACTCAGATGAGGCCTGGCCTGCTGAGCCTCAAGTTGTCTGCCTGAGCAGCAGGCTTGTCCAGTCCCCATCCAGGCCCTTGCTGGGGCTACAGCGCCAGGGACAGGTGCAAGCCCGGCCAGCAGCTGCCCCACAGCCGCCTGCAGCCTCTGCCCGCCGCACCCCTCCTCCAGGCCCTCCCTCCTGCTCCGTTCTCAGCCCAGGCTCAGTGCTCACCACCCCGAAGGCCGCCCTGGCCCAGCCCCGTGAACGCGGAGCAGGCTGCATTCCCACGGGCACCCTTCGCCCGGGCTGCCTCCCCTCCCTAGGCCTCGGGGTCCCTGGGCGCTGCGGCCGCAGCTCTGTCTCCACCTGCCGCCCTCCCGACCTCAGTGTCCTGGCCCGGCCCCTGCACACTGGAGGCGAGGCCGGGCAGTCCTTCCTGCTCTCCTGTCCCTGGAGGTGCCCGGGCGGCAGGGGGCTGCCAGCCCCACCTGCCCAGAGGCCTCCCCCGCTGGGGCTCCAGCACCGGCCGCACCCCCTCCGAGCCCAGGAGAGCTCATCTCCTGGATGCCCTGAGGTCCACCTGAACCCCAGGGGCTCCCCCCACCCCAAAAGGAGGCTCTCGCCCGTGCCCACGGCCGCTGCCCACGGGCCAAGGCAGCTCCGGCTCCCGGTCCGCCCGGGCCGGCGGCACTCGGATGGGTGACGTCCAGCAGGCTGTCCCCCCCCTTTGCTGACATATAAAGTGGTGATAAAAGCCCCGGCCTGAAAGCGGTCCTGGGGCTACACTGGACGGCGACAGGGGCCCGCCCGCCGGCGCTGCCCTGGACTGTGGGTCCCGGACGACACCACACCCAGGGCCTAGGGCGCGCCCTCCCCAGCCTCGCCGCC